CTGCCTCAGGAAGCCACTGCGGCCCCTGCTGGCTCCTGCACCCCCTGCCTCACCAGTCTTGAGTCCCTCCTCGCCTCCAAAACCAGAGTCCTGCATCCTCACACAAAGCCACTCCCTGCCCTGATGCTCTCCTCGCCTCAAACCCTGATTCCTGCACCTCCCCCCACATACACAGCCCCCTGCCCCAAGCGCTCCTCACTGCTAACCCTGATTCCTGCATCCCCACACTCCCAGCCTAGAGATGCCCCCACATCCCCAAGCCATTGCCCTTGACTCCTGCACCCACCACATCCTTGTCCTGAAGGTAAATCTTGTAGTTTTACATAAGGAAATCAAAGTATCCAGAGGTTAATGGCAAAATTCTCAAAAGTATATAAGAATTTTGGCTTTCACTGGTTTTAGGCAACCAAAGAGAGACCCTGACAGCACCGTTTGCAGAGAGTATAAAGAACTACACTGAAATCAATAGGAGCTGCAGGTAACTGGCACATGAAAGAAAAAAAAACTGCCCAAAAATGTGTTTAAATATTTCAAATTTAAATGACACAGAAGTCTATAAACATTTCATGATGTTACAGAAGGAATGAGAAATTCTCTCAATGAATCTTCATTGATTTGATATATAATTAGAAGTATTCCTGAGGTGTTTATTGGAGGAGAATGGAAGGTAAATAATTTGAAATATTACCAAGTTAAAGGAAGATGCAACAGTATGAGCATTAAAACTTATCTGCCATAAATTACTTTATACATAAGAAAAGAAAATCAACAAAGAGGAGCCATCTATAACCTGCACCTCCAGTGGATTTCTCACCTGAAAGGTCATGTCTCGTAATAAAACTTTCTGGGTTGGTTGAAAATACCCTTTCCACTGTAGAAATGCGACGTGCCACACAAATCATACAAGACTGCAAATCTGCAATAAAAGAGTTACTTTAATCTGTATTCTATATTAAGATAAAGGCATAATATGGGAGACAAGATTTGAGGATTTTGCATTTAGCTCTTAAATTATTAAAAAATATGAAGTTCTGAATCCCCAGGCTTCATAATATATATTATGTAGTAAATAACTATAGTTATTTACCTTCTCCTTCTTCCATCATAGCTCGGGGCTGAGATAAAGCAAAACACTGCATGGTTTCGTATCTCTGACGTGAATCCTGGCTGCTGCCCAAATCATCCAAAAGATCATGAGATGCTTTTACCAACATACGGCAATTAAATGTATGGCTCTTCTGTCTAGGTGTTTCATTGGTCCAAGCAACTCCATTAACTAAAAGAAAATAATCATAAAAATTCATTAAGAGTTTAAGATAAAATTAATTCTTAATTGGCTGATTATTAAGTGTACAGTGTTATTGTAGTTGTGCTGATACCAGGATATTAGAGAGAAAAGGTGAGTATGGTAAGATATTTAACCCACCCGGTCTCTGATTTTTGAAGATACCATAACACTTCAAAAAGATTTGTCAAAAGGCCATTATAATAATATTTTGAGGATAGTGTTCTTTACTGCCAAGTGAGAAAATGTCATCTCTTTCAGCCCCAGTCAAAAGGGAACGTAAAAAGTCATTCCTTGCCAAAAGAAAATAAAACCCAGTAGTTCCAAACTGATATTCTTGGAATAACAGAAGGCTTTTTGGGAAGATTTGTTCACAGACTTCAAACCTCAGATGTTTAGCGACACAGTTATAAGATTCTGAAACCATATAATCCGCTTTTTGCTTAAAACTACAGTGCTTATGGAGTTCAGACAGGCAGCTTCTACTTGAAAAGCAGAAGGTCTAAAGAACCTACATATTCTGCTTCAAAATGGGGAGACACACTTCAAAGCTGAATTGTTAACAGATTTCCAGAGCTTCATTGGGATGTGGAAAGAATTTGAGTTAAATTATTTTAGGGCCTGTTTTCACACGGAGTTATTCTGGAACAGCTATTCTTGATTACTTCCATGTGTGAAAGCTCTCATACTGGAATAAAGTGCCTTATTCTGAAGTAGTTTACTTGAAGCGTACTAAGTCATTTCAGAATAAAGCTCTTGTATTCTAGAATAAGCAAGTCCATGCATAAATTAAGGCTAGATTTTAGTCATGGGTATTTGTAGTAAAAGGGCAGTTCATGAGCAGAAAACAAAAATTCATGGCCTGTGACCTATCCATTATTTGTACTACATATCCCTGACTAAATCTGCAGTGCTTTGGAAGGACAGCTTCCTGAGCACTATAGGACTGCTGCTGGTACTGGGGGAGAAGGGGCCTTGATGGCAGTACAGCTGGCCTAAGAACTACCCAGCTCCCGCAGACCTGGGGTCAGTCATATCAGCTGCTGCACAAGTCACAGAGGTCCCAGAATGTCACAATCTATAACTTTCATGACAGACTTGAAGCCTTATGTATAATCAATCTCTTAGAACCAGACAAAAGACCCTCATGTGCCCAACCCTCTTTATTTATCAAAGTATAGAGACATGCCACACTATAAACCTAGGCATTTGTTCACTACAACCACACATAATGAATATCTGCACCTAACTTCTCGTATTTAGTTGTTTATAAAATTTCTAGTTTGAAATCAACATTTTAAATATTTTTGATGGCTTTAAAACCATAATCCTGGTTATGGAATATTGTTTTTATTCTTTTGCTAGTCTGCCAACAGCAAAGAATGAATAATCAATTTTCAATACTCATATCAATTTAATTAAAAAAATTAATATAAAGTTATATTCTAAACCTCAAGGCAAGTGATAGCTGTGACCTAAAGATTTGTTTTGTAATGTAATTAACTTTGGAAGTTGTTTGTTTGTTTGTTTGTTTGTTTGTTTGTTAAAGAAGTCTGAGAACCTAGGTAAAGATTTTATTACCTGCAGATTTGGGTAAATTTTTAAGGAAGTCTTTTCGGTCCTCTTCATGCAAGATACTGTAGACGCTTGTATTAACCAAATCTTCTTGTTTATATTGCAGATACTGTGTGACATTTTCTGATACAAACACAATGTTCCCATCTCGATTTACTACAAACAGGAAACCATCCAATGCCTAAAAATATATTTCAACAACATATTATAAACACATACAGAAAAATACCAGACTTGCTAATACAGTTAATTTTAAAAATAAAGTGGGAGATAAAATGTTGTAGTTTAGAAGAATGACTTAGCTTTTTAAATAGAAGAGTTAAAGTTTCAAGTTTTATTTCAAGAGAAACTTTCACTGTAAGGAATGCTTCTGAATATTAGAAACTCTTTGTTCATTTGTTTCTTCAACTATTGAGCTTAACATAGCGATAATTAGTTTGTAACTCTTTTGGGCTGGAAATATAACACTGAATCTGTGACATCTCAATGACTTCTATAATAATATAATGAAGTCAAAGTCAGGAATATAAATTTGCCACAAGATCTTTAAGAAGTAGGAGTAGTGTTTAAGGGAAGTAGCCTTCTTAAGAATATATTTTCAATAGCAATGAAGGACATTAAAGAAGAGAGACTACTCACTTTAAAAAAAAAAATCAATGTACGCATTCCCAAATCAGAAAAGGTATTAGAATAACTCTAAGATTATTAGCTCTGAAAATATTCCATTACTGACTAATGGAGCAGCCTACAACAGACACAGCTACTTTGTGTACTAAGCAGTAGGAGTGGTTTGCTGCTTTTTAGAATTCTTAAAAATGTTACCTAAGAGACTGTTACATAATCTGAAATCTCAGCACAGTAGGGCAGCAGCAAACATCTACTGCACAAAGGCATATTATCTTAGGAAGCACCATGTTGTGCCTATAACTCCCTCTTAAGACAGTGGAAGTTCAGGTGCTCATTTCTTCCCAGAATCACACCCATGGTCTATATAGACTATCATAAAGTTGTGAAAGTGACCCACAATCCTTCATGGCCATTTCCTGAGATAAAAGAAAAAAATCCTTGAATGCCAAGACTAGTCAATATATTTCATTTACTGGGACTACTACAAAAATGAACAGCATGTTAAGGCAGATACAAATGCTATCTGATTTTGAATCCTTCTGAACTGCTTCAGCAGAGTTGAGAAAACAATGATGAATTTTATTTCTTGATCTTTTAAAGCAATTTGCTACATTTCCATTGCACACTAATTTTTGTTGTCGGACTGCTGGCATTTCTCAAAGTTGTCACAATCTATTGCTTAAGAATATGCAAGATCAATTCCCCTTTTGTTGTACCAACTAGGGCATCCTTTACATTTACCTGTAGTAAAAGAGGTCCCAATGAATCCTTATCAATAACCCCTTGACCTGTAGAAGATACATCAGCCTTCTGTACATCATCATCACTGGATGATGTTTTTCCTAAAAACAAAGACAAGTTTTCAAAAAAGAACCATTTTATATGCGGAAGCATAGAAATATATTTTTGAGGTTATTTGCTGCATTCCATGAAGCCTGAGAATTAGCAATGAAACTGTAAATGAAATCATGTAATTAATGTTACAAATATATGTACAGAGGAAGTACGATGCTTTTTTTTTTTTTTTTAAACAGAGTTGGAACTTCAGGGCATGGTTTGTGTTTTCCTGTGAATTTGAAAGCACCTAGCAAATCTGGGAATCTATCATACGATTACCACATTTTCCATGACAAAACTTCTTCCACTGGGAAGATGATTGCTTTATGAAACAACTGTCTTTTGGTCACTTTTGGCTGACCAACACAAACTTTTCAATCTAATGAAAAGCTTTCTAATTCACACCTTTTTCCTATATAACCATGTAGAGCATAAACATTTTAAATTATGTTAAGACTTAAGTCTAGAAAGTAACCCTATTTAACATTCAGAATGTATGATTTGCTCTTTAATTGTATTTTTGGATCCAAATGAAAACACAAGGCTGAAAACAAATTCTCACTTGGCGTTCTGCAGATTATTTAATCATATCTGAAGTCAATAATTAAAAAACATTTTCAACATTTATAACCTAAAATATACCAATAAATAAGTTAGTTACAACGGGGGGGGAGGGGGGAATAAACATAAAACCACCAGTAAAGTAATGGAAAACAAGCAGCAAAATATTACTGTGACACACGGTGGCTGTTTAAGTATACTACAACAGGAGTTTAATGTATCAGAGGAAGATCATCAACCAGTAAAGTGCACAATAAAGCAGGAATAGTTCCACTGGGAAAGTACATCCAAAATACCAATTAAGGCTACTTAAAAAAATAAAACCATGTTCCAACATGGCAGACAAAGCAGAATTTGGAAGTACAGTAAACTTCTGATAATCCTGCACTATTAGGAATACTACAACAGGAGTTTAATGTATCAGAGGAAGATCATCAACCAGTAAAGTGCACAATAAAGCAGGAATAGTTCCACTGGGAAAGTACATCCAAAATACCAATTAAGGCTACTTAAAAAAATAAAACCATGTTCCAACATGGCAGACAAAGCAGAATTTGGAAGTACAGTAAACTTCTGATAATCCTGCACTATTAGGACCCAGATTATTAAATATGCCGGACTATTAGAAGGGGGCGGTATGAGGGGGGTGGGGTGG